TGCAGCATATTGTCGGCAACCGTATACCAAAGTCAGGAGACACAGGATCTTGGGGTTTTCAAGATGAGATGAAAATGCAACTGAAAATCCATGTTTCTGCATAAAATCATAATTTCAGCCATTTCATTTTTAATAGTTTATATGAGTTTTGAACCCTCAGGACTCAAAAAAAAACATTTCTGATTTAAGATTTCATACAGAATACATTGTACCTACTAAAATCTAGTAACGTTTTTTTGTAATTAGGCCCTAGAACTTTTTTTATAGCCCACAACTCATAAGTTCAAACTTGGTTATTATATTTTTGGTACATTGTGAGTTATATTTTGGACACTAGGAAAATAATTTTTTGTTGCAAGGATATTTATTTATGGTGGTCGAAAAAAATGGGTAAAAAAAATGATAAATTGTTGTCCAAATTGTATGTGTTCAATGGATTTAACAGGTCATTTTCAGCCAGAAAATGTATACCTTTATACACTTCCATCAATAGTTTTTGAGTTACATACGAGATGAACTATACTGCATAAAGCATGTTGCTGAGTGCATCCTTAAATAAACAATGTTCTTGGCTCAGAAGCTGATCATAGTTTGTCGCAGAAATATACCCCACTTACCCTGCAAATCTTTATACAAACTGTTACACATTGGTCAATGCTCCCTGATAATTGACTGCAACTGGAAAATTATCGAAGCTGGCAAGCTTGAGTCCACATTTGATCTGTAAAACTTTATTCACAATTTGGCCTTGACTAACTGGGGATCTGATCATAGATGGTACAAAGTCCCATTTGATCTGCAGACATAACTTAATAGAAACACATTGAACACATGATTATGCTTTAATGGTTATCTGGCCCTACCAATAGCTGAGTGCGAGGACCTGATTAAATTCACAAAAGGGCAAATGGTCTACTTTTTGATGATTTTTTTGAAAAAAAAGGGTCCAAACTTAGATGAAATTGGACAAGAGTGGTGAGATATTTATAAAGTCTAATAAAGGCCAAAGGTCCATGGTAATTGACCAACAGTCAAAACCCAACTGCTAACCAAGTTGTCTCATAAATCAAAATTAGACATGTTACTTTTTACACAATTTTCAATTTCATGGGACTTCACCTGGCCTTGACTAATTGAGGATCAAAGGTGGTAGCTATGTCCCATTTGATCTGCAATGTACTTAAAAATCTAAATTTTGCAAGTAGCGGGCCTTTGACGAGTCAAGTTAGCCATAAGTCCCCATTTGACGTGCAAACTTTAGTTTACACAATGTGGATGCTTCCTCATCAGCTGGAACTAGCCAACTGAGGACCTCGATCATCACAGTTGGCTCTTAAATCCAAACATTATACATAGCGGTCCTTTGACGAGTCATCATGGCCCTGATCAACTGGTGAGCCAAGTAAAGTTGACCAAAAGTGCCCATTGACCTACAAACTTAACTTTCACACAATGTACACATGCGGATGCTTCCTGGTAATCGGACCCAAGCCAACTGAGGACCTGATCAAAATTGCCCATAAGTCACTAGTTGATTGCAAAAAACATTACATACTGGCCTATTTAACTGGGGAGCCAAGCAAAGTTGGCCTAAAGTCCCTATTTGACCTGCAAACTTTATTTTACATAGTGTACACATGTGGATGCTTCCTTGTCATGGTCTAAGCCAACTGAGGACCTGATCACAGTTGGCTCTTAATTCCCAGTTGATATGGAAAACATTATACATCTAGTCCTATCACGAGTCCTATCAACCATGAACCTAATCTAGGGGAAGTGAGCAAAGTTGGAGTTTGACCTGTAAACCTTTATGCACATTGTTACACATGTGATGCTCACTGACGTTGACCATCTGGTGATATGGGAGCTGATAAAATTGACCTGTAAGTCATCATTTAAACTGCAAAACGTTAACCTGGCAAACTGGGGCTTATCAAACAACTTTAGCACAAAAGTTCCCATTTGCCTTACAATCTTCTATACAGTATACATACTGTTAGACACAAGTCTACTCCTGGCCCTGACCAACTGGGCAGGTAATTAAGTTTTTCCTATTAAGTTCCCATTTGACTTGCAGAACCATACACTGCTTTACACACAGTATGCTTCCTGGCCATGGAGTTAACTGTTAACCTATATAAAGGTGCACCTCTTCCAAAGCACAGCCCTTCATCAAGGAAACCAGTAAGTGGGTTATATGAATAAGAAGCAACCACATTTTACGCATGTCAGTACCTGAAAAGATTTCATCCAAAATTGCGGAGTGTGATGAACATGATTAATTTCACTCATAACAGGTTGAAAATTCACTAAAAATCCAGTGGATTTGTCTTTCTAATTTGGTTTCTAATGAAATCTTTGACTGTTGTCCACCTTTTAGTACGACCCTTCAGGTCTGCATCCATCTTGCAGTACTTCATTATTTTTTCTTTACCGGGCAGTTGGCGTGAGCGTAGTTCTTCTTTAAAGTGTCTGTGTATTGCTTGTTTTTCTTCAGCTGTCCAAGATTGTCTGATACTCCTTTTCTTTCTGCTGGCACCACGGTCACTTTCCTTGTTTGCAACTTGGTCACTCTTCTTTCTGCTTTGCTGCGGCATGCTCATACCTTTAATAGTGAATTAGACAAATAAGTAGGGAAACACAATTAATGTTTCAGGTTCAATGACAGATTTTAAAAAACTTAACCAAATGCAGAAGATGGTAGCTGAGAGAAGAGTGGAATGGTTATATTTTGATTTTTTTTTTAAAGTTACAATTTACATTACTTTTAGCTAGTTCTTCATTTAAAGCTGTCTGCATTAGGAGTGCCATTTAGCCAGAATTCAAACTAAGCGAATGCTAAAATTCAAATAGTGACACAAGGATAATCACCTGTTGAGGGCATCTGGAATAATCAAAGTAAGGATAAACTAGATGGAACTTCGACTGCGCGCATTCGAAAATGATGCCTCCGTCATAGAGCAAGTTTACAAACCAAAACAGAAGAAATTTTTCAAATTCGAATTTCATTGTAATCCATTAACAGGTTCTCAGAATATCGTGATTACAAGCAATTTCTCATATACATATATGACCCTTTGATCTTTGACCTCATGACCCTAAAATCTACTCAGTTCATTGGCTCTGCAAGATGTCCTGAATTAAATAGTAATCCATCTGTCAGTTCTAATGATAAAGCTGTTTTTGCATACATAATGAGCCCATGACATTTGACCTTTGACCTCATGACCCATAAATCTACTCAGTTCATTGGCTCTGCAAGATACATACATGACCTAAGTTTGGCAGGAATCCATCAATCGGTTCTTGAGATAACGCGATCACGAGCTGTTTTTCATACATAATGAGCCCTGTGACCTTTGACCTTTGACCTTGTGACCCCAAATCTTATCAGTCCATCGGCTCTGCAAGATACATACATGACCAAAGTTTGGCAGGAATCCATCAATCGGTTCTTCAGATAACGCGATCACGAGAACGGGACGGACGGACGGACGGACGGACAACCCGAAAACATAATGCCTCCGGCTACTTCGTAACGGAGGCCTAACAAAGGATATAACAAAGTAATTCATTCACACCTTCATTTTCTTTGTCTGACATCTCATCCATCAAAACAGCATCATCGGGCCTGTTCACTTCGTTGTCAGGATCATCATCAACATCTGGATCTATGTTGCATTCTGAAAAACAAAAAACAAACACAGATTTAACAAGAGCAGGTGAAAAATAACATACATGTACATTATAATCTTTGCAAGGGTAAGTTCATAGCAGACAGCTGTGGATAGTCATCCCTGTTTTGCTTTTCATGTAAACAGCACAGCTGGTACCACAACTACTCTTCAATACAAAGTGTATTTAGAGAGACAATTCTGCAAGTGTCATCATTTTTTTAAAACACATGAGTATCCAAAATATATCAAAATATGCAAATTAGCTCATTAAATGTCATGATTATGCAAATAATGCAATGAAAAGCATCACACAACATCTTGGCACCTCAGTCTGTCACCCTACCAGGTTTCAAATGAATCAGGTATAGCGTTTAGCCTGCAGAGCATTTTTTTTAAGGTTAACCTAAATTGCATTGCAAATAAGCTAATTGAAATTCATGAATATGCAAATAATACAGCTCAAAGCAACACATGATATTGTGGCACCTCACTCTATCACCCTACCAAGTTAGAAGTAAATCGGGCATAGCGTTTAACCTGCGGATCATCCTACCAAGTTTTGGAGTAAATCAAGCATAGCGTTTAGCCTGCGGAGCATTTTTAGAAGGGTTAACCGAAAACGTTAACCGAATCGGTTAATGGAAAGACGGACATAGATAATTTGGATTAGTATGTGCCACCATGAACGTTCAGTAAGGCGACACAAAAATCAAATCACATATTCAAGTATTTGAAATGTTGGCAGCTTCCCATATATTGTATCTCGGATCAATTCTTATTAAAACTGGAGGTACTAATGAAGACATCCCAGTTTGCTTACCAAAAGCATGGAACTTCACAAACTGAAGGATATAGCAAGCATACAAAACTAAGGAAATTATACAATATAAAAACTGTGTTGTATGAGAGTGTGAAATGAATGATTGAGATGTAACATAAAAGTTTTCTGGCCTAATGTAATCTCAAACTAGAAACCGTTATGATCTCACTAACCAATCAGATATCACTTCAGATAAAAGTAGAAGGAAATGAAAATGGTATGGCATATTCTCAGCCATTCTATCTAGCACAAAACATAAAAAATAGTCATACCTTCATCTGCATCTACACGAACATCATCCAACGTCTTTCCTGCCATTGCCTTTAGGTCTCCCTTCTCCATGCTGAAGAGTACTTTAGAAATCTTTGCTACTTGCAGTGACGCATCTGGCAGGCGGTAGTAGGCTCTGTGGGTTCTTATGTCATGGCCCATGAAGGTGGCTAAAATGTCCACTTCATTATCCTTCAAATTCATGATCTGAGAGCTGATAGCAATGTGCTTCCTGAGTTTTGTCAATCTAAGCTGATCTGGATACTTTGCTCCACACTTTTGGGCATGATTTCGCACTGTATCAGTTGCTCTCAAGTGGCCTCTTCCATCGGGGTTTGCAAACAAGTAGGGATTTCCATCATTGACTACTTGTGACCTTTTCTCCATCAACAAGTCAATGCTGCCTTTCATGTCATCTGTTAGCAAAACGGGTACAGTGTTATTGCATTTCCCATTAATCTCCACCCTCCATACCACATTGCACAACGCCTTTTCCCATTTGGTTAGGCCTTCACCAAATATTCCACCTTCTCCTTTTGTGATACACTTGTAATCACTGAGGGGCATCTTTGAAACTTCTCCCGGACGCTTCCTGTTGAAAACACACACCTGGGTCAGGGTAACCTCAGCCAACTGTTTCCATCTGTCAAGGGTCTCATCACTACTGCAGCTGTTCAGCTTCTGTTTTCCCTCTTTTGTTTCTTTTCTCACATAATTGGACAGTGCAACAACATCTGTTGTCAAAGGAAGCAGCCTTGATGTATTTCTCTTGTTTACTTTTAATGTACGCAGTGCATGTGTGCTTACTTCTGCTTCCCACTTGAGAGTATATGATTTGATGAACTGTTTGCATTTCTTTTCCAAACCAGCATCTGCTTGCAACAGAGCATTTCCCATAAGGACTTTGGCAGCCGTCACCAGTGTATATCCGACTTTCAGTGCCAGGCTAGGTGTTGTGTACAAATGTGTATCCTCATTAAATCCTGCAGCCTTCCTAGTTGCAGCTATGACCTCATTAAATTTGGTAGGACAAATCAAATCTACCAATGAAGCCGATGGGTGATCATTCAATTTTCTGTACTCACGAACCAGTCGTGCAAGTTCACGCAATTTTTGCCGTATATATGAATACTGGTCTTTGTCATGCCCATGCTTCAATGTCAGCCTCTCTGCTACTTGCTGCATTAATCTATCTGATTTCACAACTCTCAATATATCATCATCGACTCCCATTGATAATATCATGTGCACCTTTGGGCTTACTCCTGATGGGCCTGGAAGCATCATTCTACCAGTTTGAACATGTAAGGTTCTTTTTTTCTTCTTGGGTGGTTCACAGGTCTCATCCTCATCCTCAACATCTGGTCGCAATTTACATCTATGAACATGCCTGTACAAATCATCCTTGGAATAGAAAGCATAACAATGACTACATGGCAAATATTCTTCTGGATCCACATCATATTTCGGTCTGTATGCAACAATCAAGGTACCTTTATTTTCTTGAAGGACTTTGACATTGTGACGATAGTTTCCGTAATTTCTCATTTTAGCTAGCAAGTTTGCCTTTTCTTTCATGTCTTTAGTTGTAATCCATTGCTGAACCTCAGTCTCGTTGACATGTTGTGGTGTAAGCAGATGCCTCGGCAGTTTCTTTTGTGGTTGACTACAAAATTTACAGTACTGAGGTTTGTCCCACTTTCTACAGTTGTTGTTTGAAGTGGTCATCACATTAATACTGCAACTGGAGCTTGAGACTTTTGCACTTTGAACACTTGCAGAGGCATGGGCAGGTGAGGTATTAGGTACTGAATGGTCAACAGGCATGGCTTCACTCTCCTTATTATCACTGACAGAAACTGCCACAGAGTTACTTTGACGTCCACGTACAAACCGAAATGGAATGAAATCAGCCTCATCACTGCTACTACCTTCTGGATCAGATTCGGCTTCATAATCACTATCGGAATCATCTCCAGATGGTTCAGATGCGACAGGAGTGTCGTCATCTCCAGATGGTTCAGATGCGACAGGAGTGTCGTCATCTCCAGATGGTTCAGATGCGACAGGAGTGTCGTCATCTCCAGATGGTTCAGATGCGACAGGAGTGTTGTCATCTCCAGATGGTTCAGATGCGACAGGAGTGACGTCATCTCCAGATGGTTCAGATGCGACAGGAGTGTCGCCATCTCCAGATGGTTCAGATGCGATAGGAGTGTCGTCATCTCCAGATGGTTCAGATGCGACAGGAGTGTCGTCATCTCCAGATGGTTCAGATGCGACAGGAGTGTCGTCATCTCCAGATGGTTCAGATGCGACAGGAGTGTCGTCATCTCCAGATGGTTCAGATGCGACAGGAGTGTCGTCATCTCCAGATGGTTCAGATGCGACAGGAGTGTTGTCATCTCCAGATGGTTCAGATGCGACAGGAGTGTTGTCATCTCCAGATGGTTCAGATGCGACAGGAGTGTCGTCATCACCGGTCCAGTGAACATTTGAGCCAGATGGTGCAGCATCCAGAACTCCCACCTGAAATTATCGGAAACGGAAACAATTCATGAGTTTAGAAATTAAGAATTAGCCATAATATGCAAAAGTTTTGCATGCATTTCAATTTCGCGAGCAAGACAATTCACAATTTTTTTTAAATGCATTTTCGAACATCAATTGGTAATATTAACAAATCGCTAAATTTGAATGCCACTACAATGGCCAATTGCCACTATCCATGGTGTGTAATTCCAAACTCAATCAAAGACATAAAACTTTGATTCTGTAGTAAGATGAGATTCATTTTTAAACAAGTCAACGCAAAGCGTAGCATCCCTCGCAGGGTACAAATGGCCTATATACGTCAGAACAAGTTACCTCCATTGGACTATATTATTATATTTCTAGGCAAGGATTTTCACATATATAATTATCGGTAGGTGTTTTTGCATATTTAATGAGCTATGACCTTTCACCTTTGACCTACATACTCAGAAATCGAAATTAGGCTGTACATGTATTTTGATACCATGTACCTTCATATCAAATTTCATTAAAATCCGTCAAACATTACTCAAGTTATCGAATGGAAACCAGATTTGCATATTTAATGAGCTATGACCTTTGACCTACATACTCCGAAATCGAACTTAGACTTTGTTTTAATACCATGAACCTTCATATCAAATTTCATTAAAATTCGTCAAACATTACTCAAGTTATCGAATGGAAACCAGATTTGCATATTTAATGAGCTATGACCTTTGACCTAGGTACATACTCCGAAATCGAACTTAGCCTGTATTTTGATATCATGTACCTTCATATCAAATTCCATTAAAATTTGTCAAACATTACTGAAGTTATCGATCGGAAACCAAATTTGTTACGAACGGACGCACGCACGGACGGACGCACGCATGGAAGGAAGGACGGACGGCAGCGTTACTATATCCCCTCCGACTTCGTCGGCGAGGGGATAATAAAAGTTTTATTTTTTTTTAAACCAAAAAGTGCGACAAAAGGCAGATTTTGGCACTTTTGGTCACAATAAAAAAAAAAAAAACTTACATAAAAATATCAAGATGAAGAATCTACAAACTAACGGTAGGTAAGAATGACCACAATTTTGACCAAGTTGTGGTAATTCTGACCAATAAATTGCGTAGCTTTCCTGTTAACTATTGAGCAGCACTTTTGGTCAAATTTGAGGTCAGATATGGAACTTATGACTTCTTTCCTTTCCCCAAAAATTGTACTTTCATGATCTTTGCATAATGTTTTGCACACTTTGAACGTTGGCACCCCCCTTTAACATATTTAAACTGATTTTTTGTCGTACAGTGGAATCTCTTTTACACAAAATCGAGCTAAAACATGACATTTATTTTTAACTGTCAAGGTACCTTTATTTACCACTAATCTATGAGACAGGGCATCTAAAGATCTTAAATTGATTTTTAAATTATCAAAATGAGCAGAAATAGAATTTACTTGAGCCCGGGGTCAATTAACGTACTCTCCTATCCCACCTTGGCCTCGCAAGTCGTTTTTGGCTTGCACCTTCTCATTTTTTAACCGATTTTTTAAAGAAAGGTGTCGAAATGCTTGGTATGATATGCCCCTCCAAATGAGCAGAAACCTTAAGGATTTTGACCCCCTGTATAGCCCACCACTATTATAAAGTGCACCTACTTCTGATATCTGTAATGCACTTGAAGTATCTGCTTGGCCGAAATCGAACTTAGCCTGTATTTTAATATCATGTACCTTGATATCAAATTTCATTAAATTCTGTCAAACATTACTGAAGTTATACAGTAGGCTTGCGGTTGCACCATGTGAGAGAGAGAGAGAGGATTGAAGTTATCGATTGGAAACCAAAATTGTTAATAGGAAGGACGGACGGACAGCAGCGTTACTATATCCCCTCCGACTTTGTCGGCGAGGGGATAATAAAGCATTACTACAAGATATCAAGAATCCAAGAAATATAATTCAGCATCATACAAAGGTAGGACATGTAAACATGATACAGCTGAACCTCGGAGCGGAACCTCTTTAACACAAAATCAGTAGGACCACAATATTTTGTTTGTGTTATAAGGATTTTGTGTTATCCACTTAAAATTGCATACAAAATACATGGTTCGGCCAGATATTTACTTTGTGCTATCAGGGTTTTTGTGTCAACAGATTTTGTTTTTATAAAAAGGTTTCACAATTCACATTGTACATCGCATTTTCCCCTTGATCACATATCTTGCAGGGAGGGTCAGGTGAAAAGTTTATAGATTATTTTTGGCTAATTACGTTGCAAATTCAATAACCAGAACGTCAATGATGTAGCGCTCATCCGCATCTCGCAACAACAAATATCATAAATTTTATGTGGTACACTTTTGAACTGGTCAAAAAATAAAAATTTGATGCCCTGGAAGGGTTTGTGATTTTTAAATTATTTTTGGAATAAATTTGGCAAACCAAATCAAAATCGGTCAAGAAATGAGGGAGAAGAAGCAATTTTTGTTATTTTTGGAATAAATTTGCATAAATTACCATAAATATTAATGGAGAACAATTTCAAAATTCTGTGTAGAAGTTTAGTGTACCAAAGTTAGCTCTACGATATAAAGCAAACCAAATCAAAATCGGTCGAAATATGAAGGAGAAGCAATTTTTGTTATTTTTGGAATAAATTTGCATAAATTACCATAATTAATTAATGGAGAACAATTTCAAAATTCTGTGTATAATTTTAGTGTTCCAAATTTAGCTCTACCAAATAAGGCAAACCAAATCAAAATCGGTCAAGAAATGAGGGAGAAGCAATTTTTGTTATTTTTGGAATAAATTTGCATAAATTACCATAATTAATTAATGGAGAACAATTTCAAAATTCTGTGTAGAAATTTAGTGTACCAAAGTTAGCTCTACCAGATAAAGCAAACCAAATCAAAATCGGTCGAGAAATGAAGGAGAAGAAGCATTTTTTGTGATTTCGAATCAATTTGCATAAATTAGCATAGATAATGAATTTGACGATTCTGTGTCGAATTTTTAAATTCCCGTCCTAGCCCTATCATATGAAACAATCAGAATCAAAATCGGTTGAAAAATAACGAAGAAGAAGCATTTTGAAAACTGTAGACGGACGGACGAACGGACGACGGACGCCACGCCATGGCATAAGCTCATCGGGCCCTTTGGGCCGGATGAGCTAAAACAAGACTTTTAGAGTTATATAGACAATTAGAATTTTGACAATTCTATAGCGACAGAACATCACCATGTTTGAGTTTCTCTTGGACCCGAGAGAAAACACGCTGTAGGATATGGAGCAATGTAATGCACACACTAATGCATAACTGACATTTTGGAAATGAGGTTTTCTTGGGCATATCTACTACATGTATGTCATTAAGAGGTGGTCCAACTCAGGGAATATCCTTAAACATGACATTAATAATAACACTGCCCAATTATTATAAGGACCATTCTAATTAATGGTATAAACCTGTCGCTACGTACAGATGAAGATGAATTAGATGAAGGATAGCCTATGTGTCTAAGTATAAGATACAAATTAGAAAGAAATGGTACATACCGGTACCTGTCGCCATGGCATATCCAGCATCCCATAGTCGTACCTGATTTCTTCTCCAATTTTGATATTGGATAAAGTATACAAGCAGAGATGTATCATTCCTGAGAGAGAGAACTTCTTCATAATGGAGTTGGGTCTTTTGTGGCAGTCGTTGATATATCGAGCAAGGCAGGAGTTAGGGCATGTGGCGTCGATCCTTTTGACCAAAACATAAGGAAAGAAAGTAAATTTTGATAGATTTTCTTAAAATTATTTAAAGGGGTATTCACAGATTCTAACATGCTCTTATTTAGAACATTAATCAGCAGGTAAACACAATGAAACCTTGTTTAATACCAGTTGATTTCGATTTACATGTAGCATTTGTGAGTTAAAGAGAAGGTTGAGTTCTGGGAGAGGTGAAAAATAATTTGAGAGCATAACTCATTCTTATTATGCAAGTGTGGAAGAAAATCAGTTAAGACATGTTCCCTGAAAAGCATGGCTCTTCAAGTGCCTTCATATTCTAAATATGCATGTAACATCGTAAAAATCGGGGCCGGCTTTTTACGCCACGTGTTCGTGTAGTCCCATATACATCTTTCTGTGCAAGTGTTTGTAACTTTACCAAGACTTGGCCAAATTTCGTATCATTTTGATGATTCCAGAACCTTGCAATACACACAAATTCTTCTATGCTAGATGATAAACGTTTTTTCTGGTCGGTTCCACACCGTTTCTTTCACAATGCAATCGCATGACCAGAACTCAACTTCATCTTTAAGTAAACCCAAACTGTGTAAAAACACTGGACCACAGGTTATTATGTTTTACTACTCTTGAATACAAGAAAAACTCATACAAAGTGTTGTTCTGTCAACAAAAAAACAACAAAAATTTTACAAGTCGACCTTAGTATTTCTTGTTATTCAATGTTGTAGTGCACATTACAAAAGGTGTCATTGCTGGTCAATTTGGTCACGCTATCTTGGTT